GGGTTTCTCTCATTCATAGGATCGGCATAAGTCAAAGTCAATGGCAGTTAACAATAACAAAGGAATTATTCCAAAATGATTATGCAATGAGTAGGCAAAACAGATGGAGTTTAACAGCCACCCATCTCCACATTCTCTGAAATGGGTGAAGAATCTGTTGCTCATAAACTCCAGATGTTGCTAGACTCCAGATCCCATCAGCCCTGGTCACTATGGTCAGTGGTCAAAGATATTGAGATGCCCAGTAGCAGCTGGAGGACCACAGGCTCTGCACTAATTTTCTAAATAGTAAAACTGCTTGTTTGTTCTGCTGATTCTTCACAGTCCATAGCGATCTCTTCCGGTGGTGTGTTCTGTTGTCTTCTCCAATAGCCATAACGTTTTGCCAGTTTCACCATGTGCGTTCTGAGGGACGCTCCCATAAAAAAATACAGGAGGGGGTTCAGGCAACTATGAAACAAAGCAATACTGTTGGTTACTTGGAGTGCAACATCCATAGCTTTACTTGTCTTGCAGTCTGTGATCAGGGGGTAGATAATATCTATGGCTCTCCAAAGTTTGATCACATTGTAGGGCATCTGGGTGACAATAAAGACAGAAACAACTGCCACAAGAATTTTCAGAGGCTGGGATTTTTTAACACTGGGACTCTTGAAGAGAACTCTGGCCACAGCTGAATAGCAGGTCAGCATGATGAAGAAGGGCAATAAAAAACTTAGTGCCATTTCTCCAGCTTCAATAATCATTTTAATTATTTTTCCCAAGCTCTCTGGAAATGTAGAAATACATGCATTTGTCCCACGGAGCTCCTTGACTTGGTTGAAAATGAGATCAGGAATGCAAAGAAACATGGCAGCCATCCAGACAAAGAAACAGGTTTTAATGCATAGTTTTGTGATTCTTTGTTGACCTGGGGATTTGACAATATTGTTATACCTATCCACACTGATGCAGGCCAGAAACTGCATGCTGGTACTGAAGGTCATGGTGTAGATGGCAGTGGTGATTTTGCATAATGGGATGCCAAACACCCATCCATGTACAGCATTTGTAGCCCAAAATGGAAGAGTAAAAAGCAGTAACAAATCGGCAATTGCCAAGTTCATGATGTATAGATCAGTCCTAGTTTTTAGCTTCTTGATGTAGGCATAGATTGCTATCACGAGGGAATTCCCAGGCAGACCAACAAGGAAAACAATGGAATAAAATGCCGGTAGGAATAACTTGTTGAACGTTCTCACCTCATCTTTGAGGCAAAGCATTTCATGTGAAGCATAGTCAAAAGTAGCATTGGATTCATAATAGTAGTCGTAATACTGTTCTGAATAGTTTGTGGAGGACTCCATAGAAGAAGCTGGCAGATGATACAAAGTACTACTGTCATTTGTATCTTGAAACATTTTTGAGTATGTTTTCAACAAGAGAAGGTCCTTCAGATAACTTGAATCTGAGACTCTAAACACAAAAGTATTATTAATCTATAGGATTTAATTTATCTTTTCTGTATGTTGGGCTAAACAAGGTGGTATACTAAGCATGGAGCTGCTGCTAAAAATCAAGGTTGCATGCAAGTTAGTCTAAAATATGGAGGAGGGACAAATGGAAAATTTGTGAAGGGCTGGTTTGCTTACCATTGGCTCTACCCCAGGCCTAATATATCATTGACTGGCACTCCTAACAAGAATGGTTAGTTCTGGAAGTTGAGATAGTTGTTGCTCTAGATCCTGTCTGATATGAGCTACCTGGAGTAGGGAATCTGCGGCCCTTCAGTTGATGTTAAATTGCAGTTCCCAGTATCCATAATCATTTGGTTATATTGGCTAGGGATTGTGTAAGTCCAACAACAGCCACATTGTCACTCTAGCTAAGTATATACATATAAAAGCATCTACAATCTGGTATCATCAAGAAATAGAAACCCAGAATGGGGACTACATAGATAACATAATTTGACTCTGAATGGTGGTGATGTGTTTATTTTTGTCCACATTAATCCCCATTCCACTTAATTTTTATAGAAAATGATAGGAAATAAGGAAAGCCTTAGCCTTGTTTACACTGTGGCAAAGATGGGAAAAACTATTCTTCACTGGCCAGGGATCCCAAAGGGAAAGGTAGATGCTTTGCATGGAACAGGTCCTGGATCCAATTCATGGCATCTTTTTGTAAGACTACACATAAGACTATTGTGACGGAAATTCTAGAAAGTGTATTCTGTTCCTCTCAGTGGAGATGAGACAGAGATAGACAGACCAATGAGAGCTAATATAAGAGCTTCTTCTGTCCTTCACCTACTCTTTTCTCATTGTTATGATGGACAAATTGCTAATCATTTATAAATGGAACCCTCCCAAATTTCCCTCTTATTTTCAACTGCAAGTAAGCCTGCTGAATTTCAGAATAGAAGGTGAAAACTGACCTGCTTTTTCTTCTCAGTTGAGGAAGGAGCTGCTGTTTTGATTTTTGCCTTTGAAATGCAGTTTCATTTTCTGCCTCAGGATTTTTGTTTCCTCTCCAAAACTACCACGCCTTTTATTTCCAGTGCATCATTTCTCCCTGCCACTAACAGTTGAGGTTTTCTGGAAACCATCTGTCACATCTGAGCTGCAGATGTGGAGGTCAACTGGAGGTCAAAAACTTTGCAAAAGTGTCATTAGAGCCACGGGGCTCCCAGGTATTAAGCTTAAGAAATGAGGAAGAGGTTTGGGTACAGATGCAGCTTTTTCTAGAAAGTACTTCCGTTACAGTCCCAATAAGGTTGGATCTTGGTTTGTTGCTGCTATTGTGTGCCTATCTTGGCACTTTCTTGGCAAGATGTGTTGAGAGACGGTTTGCCTTTTCCTTCCTCGGAGGTTGAGAGAGTGTGACTTGCCCAAGGTCACTCAGTAGGTTTCCATGGCTGAGTAGGGACTCACACCCTAGTCTCCGGAGTCATAGTCCCAAAACTCAAACTACTACACCACACTGGCTCTTTTAGGCATGTACAGCACATCTAGATGGGTGGAAGAAAATTTCTCAGTTCCCTTCTCCCCATAGAAAAACTCTCCTGCCCACTTAAAATGCTGCATAGAAGTTTAGGAATCTCTGTTGATTGATGTAGTGCCTTTAGAATATTTTGGCCTTACTTGGAAGTACTCATACAGTGCACTGAAACCCAATGACTCACATGTTGCTAACTTTCAAAGCCCTGCATGGGCTAGCCCCTCTTTACCTATCTGAACTTCTTTCTCCTTACATTCCCATCCATACCCTCCGTTCTACTACTCAAGGCCTGCTGTCCCAACCTAGGATCTCCACTGCTCCATCCCGGATCCGGCCCTTCTCGCTTGCCGCCCCTCACTCCTGGAACCTTCTTCCTCCTCAAACACGGGTCATTACTTTGTCCACTTTTAAATCCAAGTAAAGACCACCTTGTTCAGGGAGGCATTCCCAGGCACTGTCTGATATA